CCTATGTGCATAGGGTCTGTGGTTTCCTTCCCTCACGCTCCCCTTGGCTTCTTGTTGTATTTTTAATAGGGCACATGCCTGAATTCCTGAGGCACCAATACTTTGCGTTTAGTCAGAGCCAGCATAGTATATGGCTACAGTGCTTGACTTCAATGTGGAAAACAATGAGTTTTAGTTCTTGTTAAGCTATGAGGTTGAAAATCTCTCTCAGCACAACCTCCTTCTCAGACTGGGAAAGCTGAAAGCTGCTTGGAGCTCACTGGAGTAAGGACAAGGAAAAGTAGCACAAATATATTCTTATGTGTTACAGGGAACTGGGAAGGGAAAGCATGTGCCTGTGCTTTATACTTGAGGATGGTATGTCCCTACATAAACTACATGTATGATAGTTTATGCTATCCCAAGCAGAGTCACTCTAAACCCAGTGCTACTAGGTCCCACTTATTTCAGAGGGCATTAGTCACACACTGTATTAGTAAAACAGGGAGAAAAATGCACTATGGAATAGTCATTTTGACCTTGCCTAATACTGAATGTAGAAGTCAAGTATTTGGCTCATAAAATCTGAAGAGGGGCAATAGTTTAATAAGGCACTGAAAGTAGAATATGAAAATTACATACAATTTAAAACAAGTTTATTGAAATATAATGTACAGTGTACATTAAGATAGTAACAAAGCTTACTGTTAAGTTAGTGAGAAAGTTTATTAAAATGTAAATGCAAATTCATTCCTCATTCTGCCCACACCTACATTTCAGGGTATGAAAAGACAGAAGATTCAGATTTTGAATTAGGGAGAAAATCTAGAGATGCCAACCACTACTATGCAGCTTGGCCATAATATATTTTCTTAAATGCAGGGAGAGTTTCACAGTGGAAATGTGTAAAATTATTTATTTATTTAAAGCATTTTTACCCTGTCCTTTACCGGCATCTCAGAAAGTGGTGCAGTATATGACTGAGATCTGAGTGGTGCAGTATGTGACTGAGGCACAATCCTAAAGCAGGAGGAAAGGAGAGAGGGATGCCTACTGTTACAATGTCATATATGTTGCTGGGTACACTCATGGAAAGCTCTGCTGGTGCAGTTGTTCTGCTGATGTCCTGCTATCAGGAATGAGGGCCAAAACAGGACATTTTGGGAGTATGTTCAGGATTCGCACAATCCTAAGAGCCTTTGCTACTTGACACAACATGAAAATAGGCCCTAAGATATGCCAACCCTGGAGCTAACATATGCAATTCCCTCCCCACAAGTGGAGAAGAAACAACTGAATAATGGCAAAGAAAGCCCTTTCTGCTTTGAGCAAGCCAGTAGGCTTTAAGGAAGTGATAGTAAGTTCTGCCACAACATCTTCCCTGCCAATAGGATTATTCTGTCTGATATTCTGGGGGATGAGGATATATGTAAACACAGCCCAACACATATTACAGCAGTTTTTGCAGAACATGGGTAGGAGGATTTTTCTGCTTGTGAATTTCCAAGGGGAAGCTGGTTGGCCATGGTGCAAACAGAATAGTGAACTAGATGGACCTTGGTTTGATCCAGTATGGCTTTTAATGTTTTCATTAACCAAAGCTTTATATATTCTAAGTGTCAGCTGAATCTTAGCAGGGAACAGAGGCACAGCCATGGTGAGGGAGCTAAAGTGATCCAAAGATCAAATGGCACCCCAAAAAGCATTTCTGGAACCCCTTTTTGTTCAACTTCTGAATATCATTAAAAACATCATTTACAGCTCCTTTTGCATTCTTATGTGTGATTTATGTCATAAGAACATATGTTTGCATGTCTGAATCTGTAAAACTTTACAATTTTATAACTGAGAAGTACTAGTGTTGACTGAACTAAGCATAAACATTACATAGATCAGTACCCTCATCTATTTTGTTTGCTTTTTTGTTGACAGTAACAATTTTCTGTTGGAGCTCTGGATCCCCTTCTAAGTCCAACCTGTAAATAATTTTTTTTTTATTTCAAAGTGATTTGAATAGAAACCGATTTTTTTTACTGGCAATTACAATGCATTCTAAAAAATATCAATACTGTTAGGCAGGGCTTTTTTTGTCATAGAACGCACCGGAACGGCGTTCTGGCACCTTTTTTCGACAGATTTTTCCATGTGATTTTGAATCGCCCTGTCGGGCGTAGCAGGTTGGTGGCAAAATCATTAAAATAGTGCATGCGGGCTGCTTGTGTGTCCGCGCTGGTTGTGATGGTACTGCTCGGCTTGTGACACTGCTCGGCTTGTGATTGATCATGTGGTCGCGCACTGAGTGCTTACTGCAGGCAGCGACCATTGTTTCATTACACAGTGCTGGTGTGTGTAGAGTGACTGGCTATGTGCAAAAGGTAAATAATTTCTTTATTTTAAAAAAAGTTGGTGAATTGAACATCTTTTTTTAATTTTTAGTGTAAAAGTGTGACCCCAAATTTAAAAATGAAAAACATTACTAATTACTTCTCAACCACTGGTCCTGCTAATAAAAGATTACCCTGGAAAAAATCCTAAATAAAAGATTAACAAGATGTGAGTTCTGGCTTTTTTTTTTTTTTTTTACAAAAAAAGCACTGCTGTTAGGGTTCAGTGGGTCCAAGCATATCAACATTTCAATAGGGATAAATTAGCCTGCAGAAGTTCAGTAAGTTAAACATATGTTTTTAAAAAACTAAGGATAAGTGAAGATAAATGGGGTATTACAGCCTAACTGATCCTATGTTTCTTCAGTACATGCATTTTACAAACATCTCAAACAGTACTGGACTCACAGCAGGTATATTACCATTTGGAAGATTAAATAATATACATTAGTTCAAAAGTCACCTTTCTTGCCTCTGCCCTGAAGCACAGGATCAAAATAATCCAAATGTTATTTTCAAAGACCAGAACAAGAAGCAAAGCCAACCTCTCATCAGCCATCAACTAAGGTATGTGCTCAGAAGCCTCAGCTTTGGAAAACTGCTCATCATTGATGCACTCCAAGACCAACATCCCAGGTGACTGCTGGAGACACCTACACTATAAAAGCACGGAGCCTTATGTCCCATTCCTCTTGCCATCACCTCTACACCTAAACCCCCAATATCAAGCTTTGTACTCTTTTCTTACACTGCTCTAGATCTTGGAAAAGAAAATCGTCTATAATCATACAATTATAAAAACAGAAGCAAATAGTTCTGTGAGAGAATACTCTTGCAAAATATGTAAAGTATATATAACCCTGACATTTGCTCACAGACCTGGAGCTTTACTTCCACTTTGCTTAGCACAAGCATGAAACTGAAGGACCAAATCTAAACTGAGTAGGATATTTTATTTCCTTGTTGTATTTATATCCTGTTTTTTCCTTTCAAGGAACTCAAGGCAGCTTATATAATTTTCTTTCCCCTCTCAATCTTATCCTCACAACGACTCACAACAACATTGTGACTGGTGCAAAGTGCCATGCACCAAGATTTCCTCCCTTCATACATTCAAGGCAACAAGCTCTTTAATTCACTAAAGGATAACCAATAAATGTACTGCATGCATTCACCACAGAACGTATCTCTGAGCATGCACAGAGAAGTTTGTTGAACCCATTCTAAGCAACTACTTTCAGAAACCCTCCTGTTGAATGTGTCTGGGCCCTATCCCTTCTGACAGGCCCATCTGGAAGTGAGCACTCCTCTTTTCTCTACTTGGCTGGCCCTTCTTCTCCTGACACTGTGTCATCAGGTTAAAAGTCATACCAGTTTCTGAGAGCTCCTCTCCCATGCCCCCACCCAACAACTGTGCATCCTGGTTATTCTCAGAGCCTGCCTGAGCACTTGGGGAGAATGCCCTTGAGATAAGCACCACTTCTTTCATTTCAGAGTCTGGAGCCCCACATTTTCAAGATCTCCCCATCTACACCCCTTCATTCTCTGACTTGGAATTCAGATTGGTGCAACCTGTGAGTGCGCACCAAGAACAACTGCCACCCTCATTGCCAGTACAGTCACCCAGTGAGCTCCAAGGCTGAGGGGCAACTGGATCTCCTGAGTCCCAGTCCTACCCCTTTAACCACTACACCAGTGAACCACTGAAATAATAGGTGTTCAAGTGACAAATCACCAGGGATTTTTACAGTTCTGTTAAATGATATGCACAAATTTTTCCTACATTACCTCAATCTTATTCCAAAGAGTCAAAGCAGCATGTAACAGCTACTCAACCCATATATGGCAAATGGATGGAGAAGGTAGTAAGAAAGAAGTCACCAAGTATAATTTTACTATGTTGTAAATGTATGAGAAAGACATTTTCTGGCCTTTAACAAAAGTCAGTTGGCTAAAGCATGATTCCTGCTGAACCATACTCAACATGTAAGAAGGCCTTTGCTTTAGAGGTCAAAGCTAATTTAGTATTGCACTTAGTAGCTCAGTAGAAGCCAATATTATCTATGGAATATACTGCAGTATAATATCCTGCCCTGTAAATAGCACAGTTAATGTTGACATTTTACTCACCAGACAAAACTGAAAAAGGATATACTGATAGGCAAAGATTGGCCCAATATTCTCTGCTAAAACACGTGGTGATGCTTGGAAGTTTCCTTTTTGCTACTTCAATGCTAAAAATTAAGCAGTTTGGTTACAGTTCCTGTACAGTATTGGTTCTGATTAACAAACATCTGCAGAACAGAATCAAGGAAAACTGAGGGGCAAGAGCAGGGTTTTATGCACATAGAATTTAGCAGAAACAAATGCAGCAGAATCCCAAGAATTTCTGCTTTTACGTTACTGCTCTTCATGATTTGTAGTGTCTATAAAAAGGATTACATTTATAAATGACACCCTTGATCTAACTCTGATTTGCCTTTTTATTCCTGCCTTTCTGTGTCCCAAAACTTCACCTATCATAGGCAAACACTTCCTTTCTATTTCTGTCTATGTCCAAAGCTTCTGCCTCCAGTGATTTCCTGTAAGTTTCCTTGAAAACTGTAATGCCCTCTTTCTCTGTATTTCATCTTTCAGTTGCCTGCTGTAAACAAGCAGATGTTACTGCTGTATCTCACAGAATCTGTCTGTCCATTACCTGAAGACAGGAGGCTGCAACAACTAAAGTCACTAAATAATTCAACAAGTTCAGCACATTGTTATAAGAAAAAGTGCCATTGGCCAGAGTAAGTAAACTATCATTGCTTGAACCATTCTGATCTAAATGACTCTCCACTACACATTTCCTGTTTTTAGGTTACAGGGGACTAGAAGAGAAAGCAGGCTAGTGATTAATGCAGATTTTCCACTGCTGCCTGTTGGTCAATACTGTTTACACTACTTCAAGTTCATAGGCTCTTCTTTTTATATACAGTGGTACCTCGGCTCATGAACACCTCAGTTCACAACCAAATTGGGTTGTGAACAAAAATTTCATAAACATTTTGACTCAGGTCGCGAACTCCACACTGTGAACTCCATGGCAGCCGCGATTGTGGTCATCTCCCCACCTCTCTGAGTGGGGAGATGGCTGCGATCGTGCTGGGGGTGGGTGGGGGGAGATGGCCGAGATTGCACCCGTCTTTCCTGCAGGAGCGCGCCCATCTCTCCCCCGCAGCACGCCTGCATTTGCACCTGTCTCTCCCCACATTGCGCCTGCCTTTGGGCCAGTCTCCCCGCCCCAGCGCACCAGGATGACGGGCGCGTACAGGGATGACAAGCGCAAGGAGATGGCCGCACTTGTGCTCAGGGTGGGGAAATGGCTGTGATCTTTGTTGCTGTCACTTTGCTTCACATTTTTCTGATTAAAAAAAAAAATAGTTACAGAACGGATTAACCTTATTTACATTGAACCTTATGGGGAAATTTAACTTGGCTCACAACCAGAGTCCTGGAATGGATTAAGTTCATGAGCCAAGGTACCACTGTACCTGAAATACTTTAATCCAAAATCTACAAGTGGGAAATACTTGATCAGGACCAACTAAAACTTGCTGATCCAAATAAAGGTATTTCCTAACCATGACTAAGTAGGCAGGTGCTATCATGGAATTCCATAGCATTCTTTGTTTTTTCTCATATTCCCTTTTCTTTAAGGAGTTTGGCTACTAACACAATTTATGCATAATATTCACCTCCAGATTGTTGCAATTGTTTTTGAAACTAAAGAACATAAAAATAAACAATGTTTTCTACAAGTGGTCCATCCAGCCACTTTGTGGCTAATAAGTACCATTATATACAGCAGTGCAAGCATTTGTGTGCTTGTATATGTATACAAGCAAAACACATACAATCCAACCAGTTTTATCATTTTTCACCTCCCCAGTACCAGTGGTTGTTTCATCTACTTTTAATATTGTGTATCTAATACTGATCTGTATGAATCAAAAATCCCAAAAAACTGAATTCTTTTCCAAACTTTAATAGAACACTTGCACAATCTCTGCTGGAAGCCTCCCTGAATACCATTCACTATGTTGATTTCCCACTGTGTTCACACCGTATGCTTACAGTTAAATTAATTTAAATTACTGTTTGGGTGAGGCAGTACAATACATCTGGTGCTTTTTTAAAAGATGCAGTGTGGGTGATAGATGGAAGCCAACTTTAACAGTCTAATAGTAAACAAGCAGTGACACTCCAGGTGCTTGGTGAGCCACAAGGAAAAACCACCCACAGAGGGGGAGAGGATAGGAGAAGAATGGGTGAAAGGTGGGGGGAAATGAAGTGCTATTTACTTTTCTTCAAAATGTCCCTCATGCAAGCAAAGCTGTACTGCTTATTACATTGGGGTTAGCTCTGTACATGAAGTGTTCAGGAAAACAGCAGACACTGCAACCAAATACCCAATTGTAATGAAAGTCCTTGTTATTCTTGTTTTACAATGACTTGAGCTTGTTGCCCTTGTGCAGCTTTGTAGGTTCAGGTTTAAAAGCCAATGCCACAGGAAAGTTAATGTTCTTTCTAAAACAGAGGCTTACAAGATAAGCCACTTCCAGCCCCTGGGTGTGGAACAGCAGTAGCTCCATGTTACAAGTTAATTATCATAGGCAGTTCATGCTGTAAATCTGATCATGACCATTATTCCTACCCATTTTCTTGTTACTTCGGGAATAACAGCATCAGACTGAATCTGCAGGGTGCTAATCCCAAATGTGGAAGACCTCTACAAGGGAATGTATACATGCCTTATATTACACTGGGGGCTGATATTGTTTCATTTCTGAATATGGCAGGAAGGGACAGTGTGTCTGTTTGGTATTGTGAAACCAAGGCTTGAACATCCACTCAGCCAATGCCTCAATGGGTAGGCTTGGACAACTTCAGAAACCACCTCAAAGGGCTGCAGAAATAAAGGAGAAGCATAACACTTGCACTCCAAAATAGAAAAGAGTAGCAGTTTTCAGGCTGCTGTGTATTCGGGAACTAGGAACAAATGAACACTGACTGAGAAGTACATGAATATGACTTCTGACTGCCATCAGGATCAGCATTCTCTTTTGAACAGTATCTACCACCCAAATGTCTCTAAAAGCTGACAAAGTCAGGCATAGTTATAATGTGCATTCTGTTTTGTTGCTAGTTTTTGATACAGGGAATTATATTATTATTATTATTATTATTATTATTATTATTATTATTATTATTATTACTATAACATTTCTATGCCGCCCCTTGCCGTCTTGAAAATGGAAATGCTATTGAACTAAGAAAAGAAAGATTTAGTCCTTCCAGCTAGTATCAACACAGGAAAACTAAGGATACTTTCAAGTAATGGTCTGCAGCCTTCTTGCTTTGCTGGGCAAAAGACTGATCTATGAGTCAGTTGCCTTTAAATTTTATATAAGTTACAGAAACAGGCAAGCCATAAATTTTGTTCCAAAACCCTTTATCTGTAGACATTTAAACATTCTGCCAGTGGAAAAATGTGCTCCAGAATAGGTTATCACTTTGCAAAGTGTTTTCACGGCAGAGAATGAACTCTTCTCTTGCCATTTTTTCAATGCCTAACAGCTAAATTACATTCCTTCTCCTCCACTCCCTAGAAGAACCTTTCCCATAACCTACATCCACTATCAGCTGTGTTATTTTCCTTCCAGTAAACATACTGATGAGGCCAGCCAGATGTGAATTAATAGGACTAGTCAACGTTTCAAGATCATGATGGTCTTTAAATCTGTGGTATTCATTACAGGACTTCTAGATTAGATTACAGCCAGAATAGTACGCAATCCTTAACAACTAGATCTTGAAAACCAACTCCAGAATACAGGAAGCCTGCTGTAAATCCCACAGCAAGCAAGATGCACAGTGAAAATGGACACAAAAATTAGTTGTACAGGCCAGGTCAGAGATTTAAAGAAATAAACCATTCTCAGTTAAATGTGGTGTGACTGATAAGTACATCTGCCTGTCCCCACCTGCTGCCTACGTTCCATACATTCCCCAGAAATTTCAGCTGCAGCAGCTGATAAGCGGTCTTTCCACAGTCAGAGGAGGGGGATGGGACAACAGGAAGAAACAGAAAGCACCAAAACAAGGCCAACAGAGACTAGTGGAGAACCAGTATAGCATAGTAGCCAAGAGATCAAGCTGTGAATCAGAGAATCTTTTCTCTGCCATGAATGCAGTATGCAACTTACCCTCAGTCTTTATTCTTCAACATTTGCAATATGGAAGAATCATACTAGCTTATCTTACAGGGTCGTGCTAAGGATTGCAGCTAGAAGCTCTGTCAACATTTTAAGAGTAGAAGAAAGATGTTATGAATGGGTTCTGTCATGACAGAGATGCTCTTGAATTGTTTTATTTCAATTCCTTGGGAGGTTCTCGAACATGGGCCCAAGCTAACGTTTTCAAAGTCCCAGCTAGGAAATGAGCTATGCTTTAAGAATTCTCACCACAAATGTTTTCATACTGATCCCTTTTAAAGAATGGAACATGTCTCTGCAGTGCACAAATAACTCTCCAACTGCTACAGAGAAGCTTTGTCGATGTTGTTCAGCCACACCAAAGCTCAATGGATCTAATTGGCAGAAGGCACTTGCCACTATGAGAGCATGAGATCCTCACCTCTCCCTACTGGAACAAACCCCATTAGCTGTGCAGACAGCTGAGAGAACAGACAGAGGAACAGCTGTGAACTTCTTGAATAGCCCTGTCCTGACTCTGTAGAGATAATCAGCTATATAAACTTTAAATATTGGTAGTTGCCCTGTAATGTCGCATGGATTTTAACATGGCATGTTCAGGAGCCCTCAACCCTCTAGCTGTTGTCAATATAAGAAGCATTCCAAAGTCCTTTCTTCCACCAAGACACATCTGATGCTTCAATGGGAGGAACAAGATGGAAAGCAAAACATCGAGGGGCCATCTGTGGGGCCGCAGGATAGCTCAGATCCCCAACTCTGAGGGTAGAGAGAACGTTCAGAAGCAGAACTCCAAACCTCACCTCATTGGAGCCAGTGTAAAGAACCACACTAGCTTCTCTCTGAAGCTGGAAGTGTAACTTGAGAGAGGGGTAAAAGGGTTAAGTTTGGGAAGAACATTGAAGCAGCCAGGATATGAACTATCCTGAAGCTGCTTTATCCTCTATGCCTCCCCCCTCCACAAAATGCTCCAGCTAGGTGGGCAAAAAAAGCCAGTCTAGCAAAAATATAGAGTGCAGCGATGGGGAAGTAAAGCAGGCCTCTCCCACTTTTCTTGCTCTGTGCTGAATACCTGTAAACCTCTGAGTCCAGGGCTTAACCCTCTTGTTTAATTGCTTCTGAGATGCTAGACAAGTTTCTCACCAACATGGCAATGCAATACTGATTCAGTATGTTCAAATTCCTTTTTGTTAATCCTCTCCAAAGAAAAATAATAATTGAAAGTTGAATGAACTAGTAGGACATGGTCATTTTCTGAAGTGTGCAGCTTGAAACACTGGCTTGAGTCATTTGCACATCTACTTGTCAGTAAGCAGAACTATTGTTCATACGTCGTATGTGGCACACTGTACTCTAGACTGAATAGTTCAATCTGTGAAGAGCTAGTCATACCTTAAGACATGCAGTTGGTCTTTACTGTGGTCAAGAATTATGATTTTATAGAATATAAGGCCAGAAATGATGTGACATTTCAAACTGAGCAATAATTTTTAATATAGCTTTATTTCAGCTTGATATATATGGAAAAGTATATTTTGCAAGAAAAAGATCCCTACAAGATGACTGGCACCATAAATTATACTTTTCATACTCACTATTTTGGACCTAAATAATACTTCAGTGGGCGAGCAGGAAACAACCATTCAAAGAGGTATTCTTCCAAAATTTATCTTT